TCTCTCTCTCTCTCTCTCTGTGTGTGTGTGTGTGTGTGTGTGTGTGTGCGTGTGTGTGTGTGTGTGTGTGTGTGCGCGCGCACGCATATATGTGTGTGTATGCGTGTCACACTGTCACAGCGTGTGCGTGTGTGTTTGTTTGTTCCGGGGGGAGATTGCCGGGGGTCTGTCTTTTTTTTCTCGTTTTTATGTTTTTTATTTTTTTAATATATTCGAACTTAAAAACAAAAAACAAAAAAAAGATGGGGTTGCAGATATCCCAAATATCTACAAGGCTATTTTATTTATTTATGTATTTTGTGATTTATCTGCCTGCAAAACAATCTCTGTTAAAATAAAGAAAAACCCACCCATTTCATATTGTTTTTTTTTTGTTATTTTCTTTCTTTCATGTTTTTGATTTTTTTTAAATAAAGAAAAAGTTCAAAAAATAAAATAAAAAACATAAGGGTGTAGATCTCGAAAATATCTACAACCCTGTATTTTTTTGTTTTTTTTGTTGATAATTATTTTAGGGGGAAACAAATATTCCCGCGCCTCCTCAAAACCTGCTCAAGCACTTTTGAGCGCGGGATTGAGCAGAGCTCAAAAAATTGAGCTCCGACCCAGAGCTCAAAAAATTGAGCTCCGACCCCGCTCTCAATCAGCGCGCGGTAAAGCAGCCGCGACCCCTCCTCCGGGAATAGCAAACAAAGTTTAACAAACCAATCTGTACATTGCTGAGGAGGGGGTGTGGGGGAGGGGGGGCAGAGCCCCCCTTCCCCCACACTTAAACTTTATTTTTATTTTTATTTTTTATTTTTTATTTAGGACAAATGCTCCAGTCTATTCGTGGGGAGCAGCACGTGCTGGGAACCGGGCCCAGCGTCCCATAATAGAGTTACACAAGTCATTTGAGATACCGGGGCCATTACCCAGCTTCGGCTGAGAATCAATCTGAGAATTTAGTCTATTGAAGAAATTCAAGAGAGGTTAAAAAATCTATGAATGACCACTGACCTCTTTTCGAATGCTCAGAACCCCTAGACTCCCAAACAAAACTCTCTAAAACTGTCCAACACTTTCTTATTCCCTGTCGAGCTCTCCCAGGCCTCACATCCCCACCCTGCTAGGTTACAGCGCAACACGACTCGCCCCAGCTCCGGCCAGCGTCGTCCCAACAGCTACCCTTGGTTGTCCCTTGGAATGCCCACCCCAAAGCATCCCCAAATCTCTCTACTAGGCCTCACGCTCCTGCAATCAGCAGGTTACAGGGCAACACCCCAGCACCGACCGGCCTCGTTCTGGCATCGAACAACCGCAGAATCGCGCAGATCCATGAATGTATCAGATCCATGAATGTATCAGTATCAAACAGCCTAAAGCGAGTTGCTTGAAGTCCCCAGAATCCTAAAACGTTCTCTTTTTTTTACCAAAATCAATGCTATTTGAGGTAAATTTGGGAGACTATCCACCAGCGAAAATCCCAGCAATTGTCTTCAAACACTCTAAAGCACCAGAGGGTCCTAACACCCCCGAAGTCCTCAGACACTATCTTATTCCCTACCAAGCTCTACCAAGCCTCTCACCCCCGCTATAGGTTGCAGGCCAAAGCAACTCACACCGGCTCCGGGCCTCCGGCCAAGCATCATCTTCGATAGGAACCCTTGATTGTCCCGTGAAATGCCCCCCCAAGGCATTCCCAGATCTCTCTACCAGGCCTCAAGCTCCTGCTGTCGTTAAAAAAAAAAAAAAGGTACAAGGAAATTGCCTCAAGGAAATTGCAAGGAGTCCCGAGAGCCTAAAAGCGCTCTACCACAACCACCGAGAACAATCACAACCTCTAGAGCATAGCCATATCGGAACACATCGCCCGTTGTTTTTTCTTTTTTTTGTAAACGAGATAGAACATGAGTGACACACAACATGAATAAAACAACATCAAAAATCGGCTCAAGGAAATTGCAAGAAGTCCTAAGAGCCTAAAAGCGTTCTACCAAAACCACTGAGAACAATCACAACCTCTAGAGCATATCATATCCCAACACATTGCCGGTTGTTTTTTTTTTTCCCCAAATGAGATAGAACATGAGTGACACACAACAAAATTGAAAGCATAAAATAGGAACCGAAACCACCAACTAGCAAACATCCCATGCAACAATTGGAAAAAACAAAGTCCCCGCGATCAGTCCTCGAACCTAAACGCGGCTGGTCTCATAACCCCTTATGCTAGGGTTAAAGGGCACGACCATGCCCCGGTACCGAGCAGCCTGGTATAGACGGCAAGGAGTGCCTTCCTCCCTCGACAACTCCCATCAGCCGCACACCCCTAGGTGACAGGGATAAACCCCAGCAACGGCTGCGTCGAACCTGGTGAGCAAAAGCAAGTTCCTTACCCAAACAGAAATCCAGGCCTGCATCAGGCCTGCTGCACCACAATAACTTGCAACATTTCTTTGGCTACACACGCACAAAGGAAAGTCCCTGCCCCTGGCTGGGCGTGGTCTAACAGTCTCTTCTTGAATCCTCGATTCCTCACCACTAGTGTTAATGATCCTTCTCTAAGAAAGCCCTGTATTGGGCGGGAATCAACTCCTCGAGCGGGGGACGACCAGGGGGGCAGAAATGAGACGAAATTTTTTTCTTGGGGTTTTATGGGGATTCACCCTTTGGCCCAGGAAGGGGCAAGCAATGGCAAAGCTTTTGCCACAGGGGTGGTTTACGACTTTTCTTTTTGTCTGTTAGCTTTTTTGAATTTCTGTTTATGTGACTGGATCTGGATTTGAGCTTCGGTCTGTGTTCCAACAGTTCATGGGTGTACCAACTCAGCTAGGCCGGTTGGTATGTACTACTTCAAATTTCTCAAAAGCTCGAAAACGAAGACCAAAATGCACCGAATAAAAACAAAAACAAAACAAACAGGAAAGTCCCACTGGACCCCTTCGAAAGCTCAACCAAGTGAGGTGGAAAGTCCCACCACTGGACCCCTTCGAAATCTCAACCAACTGAGGTGGAAAAGTCCCACCACTGGACCCTTTCGAAAGCTCAACCAAGTGAGGTGGAAGACTTGAAGTTGACACCCACGGCGGCCTCCACCCTTCGTGTCAGCCTGCACGAACACTGAGCTGGACAAGCAGCAATCCGCAACCAGCTCGAAGGGGCCCCATTCAACAACATGGACATTAGGCAGCCTCAACGTGACAGTATATGTATATATATATATATCGCAGAGCTCAGGTCCGCAAGCCGAATCACAAGCTGCATCGCGCGCTCACTCTCAAGCTCGAAATTAGTGCACACTGCACAGGCCTGCATCAAAGCAGGCAGGTACTTCTGCACACACCCACAGACTTTCGGCAGCACAAGCTGTCCTCTCGGTTGGACGGAACGGCAAATTCTTCTTCTTCTTCTTCTTCTTCTTCGTTCAGTGTTCAAGCAAGCAATCGAGCAGCGAAGGGCCGAGTGACTTCTATAGCACATTCTTTTTACTATAGATATCTGCCAGAGCACTAGGACTTCGTTCTTTTTGCCGGTGACTTGACACCAGGTCATCGATTTGCTGTGCCTAGGGTCCTAGGAATTATTGCCTGGCTCATCACCATCGCACCACGGTCGGGACCAATTTCTTTGCGACGTCAACAAGTTTGGCATGATGAAGACCGTTTCAGCGGGCAGCATGATGGCCGCTTTCCTGTTTGCGGCGATGGCGACGATGCTCGCTACGTCACCCGCGGGTGCGACTCAGCCGCTCACGCACTGCGATTTCTACCTTTCCTGCAACAAGTGGAGCATACCGGAGCTGAATATCTGTCCCGGTGGAGACGTGGCGTACAGCCGATGCACAGGCAGAATCATGCACCACGTCAAAACGTAAGTACTTGTACGTTATCACTCACTGACCGATTCACGGTCACCCGTGCTAGAAAGGAGCTCGTTCATTCTAAGCTCTTTTTTTTTTTTTTTTTTCCATTCTTAGTAACTTGTATTAAAAAAAAAAAAAGCTAAGTCATAGTAACTAACTTAGTCGTAATAATAATCTATGATTGTTATACTTCGTTCGGAAACGTTTTAGACGAGTATTCTCACGAGCAGAGATCTTCACTTTTAAGGACTGTTGTGAATGAATCTGGATGCATTCACGTTCCCATTCGCTTTCCAGCCGCTCGTGCAAGAAGCGAAGCATGGCAGCATGCCCATCTTCAATGCCTGTCCGGCTGGAGACGTGGCGTGGAGCCTGCCGATGCACAGGTCACGTCATGCACCACACGTAAACGTTGAAGTACTACAAAATTTCTAATAAATGATCTTCTAGAATCGGTGTAGATCGCCCGAGTGAATTGATGGGCAGGATAAGCCTACTCTGTCCTGAGCCGTTCCGGATCATAATTCCCACTTCCGTCTTCATCCGAACAGAAAGCAATGGTCATTATCATTGTATGTGGACGGATAGTTGCCCCGAATACAGCTATAACGACTGGTGACGACGGTAGTAGGAGTTTTCCACGTGAACGGGGGGTGTTGCGAATGAATCCCGCATGATCCTGCATGCGCACGTGATCTTCTTCACGCGCCTTAGTCAGGGTATGAACTCAAATTTGCGCCGCGGTCTTCACTACCTCTGTTTCGGTTTTTGTTCTTTTTTTACTATTATTATTATTGTTATTATTATTAATTTATTATTACTTCTTGGGAAAATTTGTATGGTGCCCCTGTAACGCACCCCTCCTACGGCTCACTAACCCTGTCGTGCCCCTGCGGCCTCTTAACTCTCCTGCATGCCCCTCTCAGCAAGGGGCGAACTTTCCGCGGTGCCCTTACTCGAGGGCCAGTCTCATTTCCCCTACCCTATATGCCCTCATGAGCGGCATACATCGTTCCACCATGCCCTCGCACCAGAAATTCCGATTTGGAGCATGTCGTTTTTGTGGCGCTGCCGCAAAAATTGACCCCATGTGTGAGTGTTGTCATATTCTCTATACACTCAAAAAAAGCATGACTGTACAAGACTGTTTCGTCCGACTTCCACCGACTCATGGTCAGGAGGTTGAACCCCGACAGTCTGCCCAGTATGCATTTGACTAATGGATAAGCACTCACCTCGCCCAGAGTTAGCCATACCACTGAGAAAAGTGGTCGACTTTACTCACACCAACGGTGTGTGTGTGTGTGAGTGAGAGAGAGAGGGAGAGAGCGAGAAATGAAGTGGTCGTCATGCACGTGCGTGTGTGTGTGTGTGTGTGTCACAGAGAGAGAGAGAGAGAGAGAGAGAGAGAGAGAGAGAGAGAGAGAGAGAGAGAGAGAG